ATCAATTATCTTCAAAACGGTACAAAAATCGTTGTGACTCACATAGTAGATACGTACAGTAGAGCGCTTCGAAAAAAATAGATTTTTCATATGTTTTACTATGTGATCGACAAAAATTACGTAGACTTTTGTCCAGTGAGTGTATACGTACTGAAAGACTGATGCCTGTTGCACAAGATGACGTATTCGAACTAGCTGGTACATCGCTACATGATAGTATGCTCACGGTAAGTAATCAACTTTATGCCAATTTTCATATTAATCTATACCATGCCTGCTTACTCACTACGCGTATTCCAAATTACTAGATAAACCCCTTCAAATGCCATGTTTCTGCACATAAATCATCCGATATACCACACGTACGTACATGGATCTGCACGTTGGCCGTAATAAAAACCACTGCGCAAGTGCGCAACAGTATTACTACGTTCACCTTGCACACCACACACAGTATGTAAGCGGCAGTGCATCGTCTTTAAATCTCTCAGAATTCGACGTAATTGCATATTACGAGACATCAAAGAAAAACCTGCACGAAAGAACAAAAATGGCTAAAGTAGGTTCTCGGGTGTCTCTCGTGGGAGAGCTTGATATACACAATGATAAGTTATATATCAAATTACATAATTTTGAATTTATCTCCACGAACACCCCTGCATCCTCCTCCTCCTCCTCCTCCTCCTCAATACTCGAATCCGTTGATCATACCACATTATCTCCGCCTCAAAAAAAAAAAGATCCCAACTATATGATTCGCTTGACGAACAACAAACCACTACTCCTCCGAAACATCTGAAAAGCCTGCTGCGACGTCTACCTCTACTGCAGACAACTCGGGTTAATTCAAAAAACAAACCAGCAACAAAAACCTCCTCTTCAAGGAGAATATTATGATCCAATGATACGCCTAAGCTTAACAATTTGGCATCAGATATATTAAAATTACCTTCATATGAAGATAGTATTGTATTACTTGAAATATTTCTATTTCCGTCTAGTCATTGGGTTTTTTTTTAGACTATTTATATCTTATGATTTCTGTTTATGACATTATGGACATGTCGATTCATGTTGGGGAAGGAGTGGAACCAAATAGCAAAATATTTTCATTCATATTAGTATTGTATATATGAAACTGATTCTTTGAGAATAGCAAATACAAAGATGTGTCACCCAGATTGTGACAAGATAAATTTAATCCCTCAGCACTTACAATGGATTGGAAGTGCAACCTGGAAATTTAGAAGAATCCACTATTCATACTTTCAATAATGATGACTTGTTTGCATTGGACAAGGACATAATTTATAATTCCAAAGACGATGACATTGAAGAAAATGAAGAAGAATATGACAAACAAGAATATGATGAACATTATGAGAATGAAGATGTTATACCTGTCCCCACAACAAAAGTGTCAGAAGATCAACCAACACCATGCATTGTCATGATAAATCACAATGGCATCATACAATGTTGCAGGAAAATGGATCCCAAAAATCAAAAAAAGCTCTGGAATCTCATAGTAATAGGGGTATGGGAAGTTGATAGGCAAGCTGTCAATGAAGTGAAAGAATGAACAGATCAACTCAGAGTATGCACCACACATTTCCATTATGATCAAAAAGACTTGCATCTGAAAGGACTTGAACAAACAAAAGACTATAAAACTGGTGTCATTCAACACTTTCATTGCACATTATGTAAGAAATATTTTCATGCATTCTGTCATATTTATGGATGTGATGTACATCGTTGGTCCTTTGCAGTAAAGACAGTACAAATCCTGTGCATGGTCAGAAATAATGTCCTATGGTTAGCACTTTTCTGTTGCTCATTGAATGAATAAGTTAGAGGAGCGCGTCATGACAGTTAGTATGCTCTCCTCGTAAATAGTACGAAGCAGTACCTTTGACGGCGCTTTGCTAGTGGGCAAAACTGTAAAGAAGTATGTTTGCTAATACTAATACTAACACATACAACAAAATTTCTTCTGAAGCAAGTACCAAGATGTCGTGCGTAAAAGTTCAGCATCGACACAATGAGTGACGAGGGAAGATGAGGGGTCGATTAAACGTGAGGTACGCGATGATGATCATGTGACACTGATTAATAAGTGATTGGATTGAGAATTCTGTTATTATATCTTCAACTTTCGTTCCTACAAAGAGAAAAAGTATTGCGATAACATGTATTGTCAGAATCCCAGTAACTATTGAGTTTTTGGGCGCCGTTGTCGATTTGGTTATTGTAATTTCATTACCATTACTATTACTGGCCTTAAGGTATTATATTTCATCACACAAACGCTCACTGTCATAGCGAGGGAGAATTAGTGGTCTTTCTTGTGAATTGGTCATCTCAATGGACAAATTAACGTGAGACTATTTCAGTGGATGGTTCACATTTTCTTCAGTTTCTTCTTCCGTGACGGAATGAGTAAACTTTTCATTTGGTATCGTCTTGTGGTAAACATTACACAAGTAGGTGATATCATAGTCGCATGTCTTTAAATTTTCTTAGAGCTCTTATTCACTTTTATTTTAAACCTTACGTAACAACGTAAATCTTGGAATAAAATGTGGGACGAGTCACAACACTAAAATGACTAAATCAGATCCAAATGACTCGTCTACTTTGATCGCGTCTAAAATCAAAAAAGTACAATTGATTCCATCAGTAGTGGGACCCGAGTTACGCAGTTTGCAATATCTGATTTCGTGACCATAACACTCGACACTTACAAACTTGCCAATAGAGCGAAGTAGTCGAAGAGTATAAAAACGTTCAAGACAGTTGTAGCGGATGCAATAATATTAGCCCACGAAGAAACATATGAGGAGACTATTATTGACGTGTATGGTTCGGCGCGCATTTTCTTCTGCGAATAAGACTACATTATACTATTAATATATGATTCATGGTGTGATAATCATGTAATATTATTGAAAAGCACGCTATGTGATATAGTTTGTAATATTGATTACGATATATGGTTTATTCTTATTATATGATATTCGTTAGGAGTACGTACGATTCCAGCAGAATTATTGTGTCATTTGTGCTGGAGCCGATTCAGCCGTTATAGTTTTCTTGGCAGCGAAATTGGACCGGCATAAGGCAAAACCCGCATATGCAAGGCAGTGCTTTCGGAATCACAAATCTTTCGGACTATCGAAGCAATTTTCGCGAAACGGATTAGTGAATTTTGCTGTAGTTACTAATTGCGTTGTTTGATAAACATGATCGTTACTTTCATTTATTCTTAATGTGATAATCAATAGCTCGTTAACATACTTTAATCGCTGTCATACTGATCAAGTGTTCTTTAACTATTTGCTATTACATAACACTAATGCCATGTTTTCACTAAACGATTATAATTGAGTTTACGAAAGGGAAACGCATGGACATTTGCAAGATCGAGCAAAGTCTTAAACAATAACTAGTTAACGCGGTATTAAATATCATATTGGTATACACATAGCTGTCGTTGTATATTTAGGCAAAAACGGCCCTGCTGGCCAAACACCATAGTCTTTAACAGGAGATTATGCGAGATCGGATAGACCCGCGTGCCCTCTGAATTTTTACATCCACATTGGAATGTGTGATTTCACATTGCATCGTGCATCCAATTCTACGGCAATCCAGGAAACACGTGGACGACTGGTATGTGGAAATTGCAATGATTCAATCCCACGCGACAATCACAACAGGCAATTATTTGCACGAGAGCAACAAAGTAGCGTAGATATAATATACGCCCAAATAGATTCGTTTAATACAAAATTTTTGAAATTGCGCGCACCTTGTGTGATTTATTACATTACCGTTTAACCGATACGAAAACCATCATTGAGTAGGAAAATACTATGGGTCAGTCATATTTGGCCACGCGCAATGCTTTACAACATAATTGTTGCTCTATGTCTGCTTTGCTGCAATACGTAAAGTTTTAAACGTACGGGTTTGCAATGTGTAATCGTAAATTCGGTATAACAAGACACTTTTAATTGCGAAAACGATCTGTTTAACAGAATTGATCATGTGATAAAAACAAATTATTAAAACGCGAAACTCAAAGCCTGTGCCTTTTGGAACAGTCTCAGTAGACAACCACATCTTGTCATTGGTTTTCTCGGTTCAAAAAAAGATAGTGTTCAATTTAAAGTAATTTACTTTTTAGAATAATTCTGTATTTCGTTTACTAGATTGGATGTTTTTTTAATTAATTGACGAAAGCATTTGCTTTAGTAAGAAAGATTGCCTGACTAACTGAGCCTTTTTTTGGTAGTCACGATCAATAAGAAGCGATAAAAGGAAATCAGCTGACAATATTGGTAACATGGAGATATTACTATGTCTTACAAATGTAATTAGTCGCAAATCGCCGAAAAGAAATAATTAACACAAGTCAATATTTTAATGCTAAGAATTTACTCCTTATTTAGTAGCCATTCACGAGGAAGGAAGGGGGAAGGGAGGGGAAAACGGGGGAAGGGAGATGATATTTTCTTTTTTTTGCGTATGAAACATCTTTAATGCATGCGAGCATCGAGGCAAGCCTATGAGTTGGTCGACCATCAGGATCGAGATTAGCATACCGCGATTCATTTCACGAAAGAATGATAAAGTAGTGCGAGCAATATGGACGGCAACATTACGTGCATATATGATTATATGTTTTAACGTTTTTGTTTATGAAAATTAATAATATCTAATTAATGGTTGATGCTCGCACTCGTTTATAGTGATCGCGGCGTTGACCATAATGTCCATGTTACAAAAGTGTCTTGTCTTGTTTACGGTGTTTAGCAATTTCGTGCATTCGATGACTTGAATGAAAGTAGTATTATTTTAAACATCGCTATCCGTACTATACTGGAATTAATTTAAATGAAAAGAGCAAGCATTATTTTAACCAAGTTTCAGAATACGCGGTCTTATCGCAGTGCAGTCAAAGATTATCATTTAAAGAGCATCTAAATTATTCGTACATATTACAGTTGATTATATATATAGAAATTAATATTACGAAATTTCTCCACACGCACTGATTGATAGATTATCTTGCATGATGCTTGATTTACGGTTTTATTTTTTAGAACAAAAATGTATACACCCTTTGTTTACTGTTATCATTTTTATCTTGTTGGAGTCCCAAACCTAATTTTGCCGCGCAAATCTTACATGCTTTTGTTTTGTTCACACACGCGTATAAACCGCGTGAATAGGTGGCATCTGCGGTCTTGCGTGGAAATGGTTTATATGTCAACGTTCATGTTTAACTCGCTCGCTTGCTTACTTTTTGCTTTGCATGCTGGATTTGTATAATTTACAGTATATTGTTTTCACTTTTAATTATTTCCTTCTTCTTCTTCTTCTTCTTCTTAAAAATATCGATTGATAATGCGACATCTTACATGCAGAACAGGATCACCCTTAATCACACGACCGGTCTATGCAAGCGCTCTATGTTAAATAGAAGGGGAATGGGGAAGGGGGCGGAAAAATACTCCCAATGCCGAAAGTTTGGCGCAAAAGAAAACGATTTTATTGGTTAAAACCAGGTTTATTTTCATATGAGATATGCTAAAACAACTTGATTCGTTTAGACTTTTTAGTGACACCGAAAGATACCGCCGGAGAAAATCTTTGGGGGTTACACACATGTTGCAGTAAGCAAATATTTGGGCGTACTCCACCTTTCCAACACACCCCCTTTGTATCATCATGAAATGATTTATATGACTTTTTTACTTTGATAATCTGCGGCTGCAGCTACGGTCGCACCACTGCTATGAGGGAAATTTGCTGTAAATCATAATGTTAGAGAGATTGTGTGTGTGTGTATTAATATGTGTGTGTATTAGTATGTGTGTGTGCATTAATATGTGTGTGTGTGTATTAATATGTGTGTGTATATATTAATATGTGTGCATTAATATACTAATACGTGTGTGTTTCCAAGTGTAAGAATGTAATGTTCACTTTTAATCCACTTTGCACGATTGATGTGTGACTTTATTTTTTTAATTGTTTACATTCTGATGTCATTTTTGAAATTTGGTAACCAGATAAGATTGTTATTTAAAAGATGACAATCAAGTGTTTTCCTGAATGTATGACAAAGGGAACAAGGGAATCAATAAGTTACCATGATTGAAAATAATAACAAGCCATACCAATGACTATTACTATTAAAGAAACACACTTATTTAGGATACTGTATTCGGGAATATGTTTTTTCTGGGGGGGTCAACAATCTTTTAGCCAGACATTTACAACTTTTCTAAATTCTTATCACAATAAAGGAAATGTAAAATTCCTTTTCCATTAAGAGTTAATACTTTATTGCATCTTTTTAGCTGGTCATTTCTGATTTGTTCTCATTTATTTCACAGTGATAAATAAACAATTAAAGAACAAGGCTTATTAGATAAATTTAGCTAGTTGAGCACATTCCCATCATGGGCGGTGAAAGCCCAAACTTATTATTATTTGTGAAGAAGAATAATAGACAGTCTTTCCACGTTGACATAGCAAGGATGTTACACTGAAAATTGTTCATATTGCATTATGCCAAATATATAAGTTTACCAACTTGTTTGGAATTACCATTCTTTGTAATGGATGGTTTGTGTTACAAGATTTAATGAGGTTCGACTATTTCTAGATTAAACTTACGTATAAATGGGATACAATTAGTATTTTTTTTTAAAAGCCCCCCTTTTTAATGAAAAGAAAACCCGTATTTTCCCTCCTTCAACGTGCAAAAAGCGCGATATAAACACAAGATCGCGGCATCAAACACAAAAGGGTTAACAACATAGCCACGGTCACCAGGGTTTGCATAAGATTATTTCATGAAAAAAGAAACATTCCTAAAAACTGTGCATGCATAGCTATTTGTTCAAAGATGATGAAACATGGCATTTTGCTTTGATGGTCGCTTATTGCGGAACTTGCGGAGTTTGCGGGATTAGCATTTGACTTTCAAAAAAATATTTACTGTACAACGACATTCACATGAGCCGATGCGTATATGGGAATTCGTGTGTTACGAATATGAAAGATGCAGCTTCAACAGAGAATTTTTTTTTTAATGATCGAGCCTTTATTGGATATTAATATGTAATGAGCGCATAATATTATATGGAAAGGTCTTGTCACCAATCAAATCCTCTTGAAACGAAACGATCTCTTGACAAAGCGAGTATTCGGAGTGGCCGGAGTAGGAGTGGGTGAGTTGTCTGGAGTAGGAGCGGGAGCAGCAGCAGGCGTGCTTGAATTCTCTGGAGTAGTGCTTGAATCGTTTGGAGTAGGAGTTGAAGTGTCTGGAGTAGGAGTTGGAGTCTCTGGAGTAGGAGCATCTGAAGTGGCTGTCGCGTTTGTCGGGGGTGGAGAGCTTGGAGCCGTACAAACTCCGTTAAAGCTAAATTGCGAGAGACATCCGACTCCGCAATGATCCGCACTCGATCCGCAGAATCCGCTAGAGCTACAACACGGCAGGCTCTCGGTGCAGTTGTGACCACCCATTGCTGGACAGCCGCTGCTATCAGGAACCGGACCAGTGGAATTCAGAACGACTAGAAAAGATAATGTATCGTTAGAGATTAGAGGGGGAGGGGCAATGTCGTAGATGATGTGTAATGCATGTGGAGCGTAATGTGGTGTAATGCGATGTGATGTGGGTAATGCGATGTGATGTGGGGTTTTGCTTTGCTTTGCTTTGCTTACAATAGTTGCTGTATCCGTAATTCGGTTGAGATTTGCCGACAATAAAGACATAGTCTTGTCTGCTTGGATCGGTTGCCGCTGGAGTGTACACACACACTAGAAAAGAAAAAGAGTAGAATCGTCAAGCAACGTATTGGGGAAAAGTTCAATTAATCGATTCCAGTAACACGTGTGCTGTACTTACATTGGTCTGAACTAGGTATGTTTGCGCAGATGGGATAGTCTATCGTGAGATTTCCAGGTTCTCCATGTGATAGCAAGACATCGACCATAGGCTCTATGGGGATGGAATCATCCTGGTTCTCCCATGTGACGTTGTATGATTGGCCCAGGAACAAGATCTGTCCTACGGGTGGGAAAGTGACTTGGTATGAAGCGTGAATGGTTGCCGACAGAAGGAGGACGATGGCGTGGACGAACAGAAACTTGTTGAGCAAGTTGGATGAGATGGACATGTTGAACGTGTCGAGTGTGTTGACCGTGTTGACCGTGTTGACCGTGTTGAATGTGCTGAATGTGCTGAATGTGCTGAATGTGCTGAATGTGTTGAATGTGCTGAATGTGCTGAATGTGCTGAATGTGCTGGACACGAGGAAAACATCCTTGATGAAAAAGACGCATATATATATAACGATTAGCAAGATTTCTTAGATGCTGTCTGTATGGAAAATGTTATTATCGCTGACAGAACCTCGTTTCGTCCAGACTAATATCGTGTGTAACCATGATTACTATGAATTGACTCTGGTCGGAATGATAATGAAGTGTATCGTTATTGCATAATTTCTATAATCATGACCATTAGCAAATTTATTTTTTTGTCTTGTCCGGAACCGGTTTCTTTTTCCTTTTCTTCTTCCTTTTGCCCGCTCTTTTTTTTTTGTTATTGTTTGTTTCTCCCCTCCCTCCCTTTCCTTTTCCTTTCCTTTTCCTTTCCTTTTTCCTTGTTTGCTGAAATAATAATAACGTAGATAAGATTCACGTGACTAGATACTGATGCCTATAAAAGTGTTTCGGTATTAAAAAATTTTTTCATTAAGATGTACGGAAAAATAGAATGTTTTATCATAGATTGGGGGGAGAGTGGGGGGGAGGAGACGAGAGATGGAGAAGGGGAGGGGAATAATATTATTAATGTGGGGGAAATGCATATCAATAATGAGAAAGCCATTCTCCCTACATGTCTATTTGTTTGGGTTGATGGGGATTGGTCTTTTAGTGGGGGCGGATGTGGGTGGTTTGAGTGTAGGTTTGACCTTAGCGCCGAACCCAATTGACTAAACAAGTAAATGCAGCAAGATGAGATATGAAGAACAAAAGAGATAAAAGATTGGATAAAATGGGGGCGTAAAGGATGATCATACATGATGTTGTGTATAATGTAGTGTAAAATGTAGTGTAAATGTAGTGTAAATGTAGTGTAATCGATAATGTATAAAAGTATAATGTATTATAATGTGGTGATATGTATAATAAAGTAATATATAGCGTAGCTGTACATATAACGGTACATATAGCTGTACATATAGCTGTACATTAGTAGTACAAGTATAAGTGAAGTAGAAATGTAGGCGGTACACAGTATAAATGTAGGCGGTACATAGTATAAACATATTATAAACATAGTATAAACATAGCAGTACATATTATAGACGTAGGCAGTACATATTATTACTAAATATACTCAATGCTCACTATATTAAATATACTCACTGCTCACTATACTAAATATACTCAATCCACTGCACTTTATACTTACACTGTAATGTACTATGATATATATGCTTTACTTTACACTACATAAAAACCGTATACATGTAAATATAGTATTTTTAGTCAGATGACTATGATTTGAATGTATTAGCTATATTTAGGTGGTCGGTGCAATGGAATTTTATGCTTTTGCAGCCAGTATTCAAATATTTATATTTGCACGAGTAATTTTATAATCAATACTATTCTCATTAGTATTAACAGTGTAAAAGTAAAAGAGCGACATCGAATGCGGTCGAATATGGCATAGTCTCTGCTTATGTGAGCGGATAAGCAGTTGAATATGATGAACTTGCCGTGTGGAGTACAATTGATGAGAGAAGAAAATCGACATGTATGTAATAGTTTGAAAGCAATACTTTGGTGTGTAAATAAACGATATTATTATATATTTCATTTATATATGTTTATCCTAATCACATATTGTTACATATTCCACATATTCTCCACTTCATCCACTCATCTCCCCTCTCCACTGTAATAGTGTAACGTTGTGGAGTAAACAATGCAGGTGACTCGGTGTCACCATCTTGAATTTGATATGATTTCCGTATTACATAGTATTACATACATTCCCCACAGTATGTCACGTGAATTAATCATAATACATTAATACACATACAGTTTTTTTAAAGTTTATTTATTTATTTATTATACGTTGTGATTCAACAGAGAAAGAGTATGCAAACATGTATGAACGAGTATGTGAGGGTAAGAGTGAGTGTAAGAGTAAGAGCAAAGAGTGAGGGTAAGAGTAAGAGCAAAGGGTAAGAGTAAGAGTGAGAGCAAAGTGTGAACAGTGAACGTAAAGAGTGAATACATATGTGTGAATGAGTGAGGGAAAAGCGATTTACAGGTGCAGTGCAACAAGTACAGATATTGCAACTCGGGACAAGAATACGAAGGGGGTTTCTATGATTAGTTCGAGGGTTTTTAAAAGGAATGTCGTCCAATATCGGGTCCATCTCCCATCGAGTATCATCAACAAACACAACAAAAAAGCCATGTCTGATATGATTGGTGACTATAATTGATTGCATTACTGGCGTGTTTGCTATCAATGCATTCACTAAAAAACTATTGTTAATTAAAAAAGCTAAAGCTAAATGCAACTGATTAAGAGACGGATTAAACGGCTTAACGGATTAGACAGGCTCATTCACACAATGAGAAAAACAAGAAGGGAAGGGAATGAACGACAAGGGAATAACGAGGGAGGGAAAGAAAGAATAAGAGGGAAAAGAAGGAAAAGAATAAAAAGAATAAAAGGGAAAGAAAAAGGCAGTAACAGGTAACCGTTCAAAGCCAAAGCTAAACCAAAGCCAAAGCCAAGCCAAAACCAAGCCAAAACCAAGCCAAAACCAAAGCCAAAACCAAAGCCAAAACCCAGACACAACAGTAACTGCATTGCATTAGTATTGCGTTGTTTTGCCACCGCCATCCACAATCATTATCGTACGCCCTTTTTCCTTTTTTCCCTTTTTTCCCTTCTTCCTCTTCTCTTTCTCCTTACATCTATCTGGATAACAAGGACAGCACAAACGTATATGCGTCTGGTAGTATTGTTCAGATTAGTCATTTCATTGTACTTTATCAGCTGCCGATATTTTTATTTTTTATGTATTGCGATGCAACGCAGATGCACTCCTCAATATGTTTGTCTTCATTAATCAAAATACGCCATCGAAATGCAAATGCAATACGACAGTAACAGTAACATTAACAGTAACAACAGTAATATTAGCAACAGTAACATTAGCAACAACAACAACAACATTAACAACAACAACAACAGTAATAACAACAGCAATAACAACGATAATAATATTATTATTACTATTAACGATGCGATGCTAATAATAACATTAACAACATCAACAACAACAGCATCAACATCAACATCAACATCAACAACATCATCGCTCTGTGCTGATGATGATTTTTTTGATAATAATGATAAATAAAAAAATAAAAATCAAAACAAAACAAAAAAGAGAAAAAAAAAGCGATCAGACTCTGTATAAATAATTTAAAATACGTCTGCAGCCCAATTACACAATAAAAATACTAATAAATTGACGCTCAAATACATGAAACAATATGTTGTAAATATATATTAATTATACACACTGTATTATTATTACCTAAATTATTATTAATTTTTTTTTGCCCGCTAGTTTGTATTTATTATTAGATTCATTTTTTCCAACTTGCCCTCTCACCCTCTTCTCCTTTTACCCTCTTTCCCTTTTCCGATTTATACCTTTACACCTCTTATACCTTCCCTCCCTTGTTCGACTCCTCCTCCCTCCATCACCTCCCCTCCCCTTACCACGTCCCATTTCCCCCCCCCCCCACCTCGCAAACTTGATACACTCTCCTACACTAGCATCTTTTACGAACCGCAGTGTGGTGAATGTGGAGAGGGTTATATTCACATATACAAGGTAAGAAACCAGAGGTCAAGGAAAACCAGTCCCCGGAAACACACCATTTCAGAACAAACGTTACCGAACGTGGCCTCTGTTTGAAAAAAAATTATAGTGTCTGTTTTGAAAAAACGGTCGTTTTAAACGGTGGTATCCCAAACAGAATAAATGTTGCCATGTTCGAGAACACGGGCGCGTTTTACTACAAGTAAACAACAACTCGTATTCACCGGAACGCGCAACAAACAATGCCGCGTCTTACACAAATACTCACGGTTTATTTTTCTTTTCCCCCCTTCTCTTTCCCCTCCCGTATCTCGCGTACACCACTATATCACAAACGATATCAATTCAAACAACCCGGAACAACATTCACATCGGAATACTCGTATGCTTGCACCGTATTTACCTATATCACATATATCGCATCTTTTTCTCGTGCTCTCTTTCACTCACCTTTACCTTTTCCTCGTCGCAGCGTGAATCGATCAAAAAAATAGAACCAATAGACACAACTTGTCAGAATTTAACCTTGATTATTTGTTTTTTCTCAATTTAAAAAGAACTCTGATTATCACCAAAAGACAGAAAGACGACCAAAAAAGCCACAGATACATAGATCAGGCGGTTACAAATAACTCTTACTTGTGTATTTGTAACGAGTACTCTTATTTGTTGTTACGACAGTGCTTACCATGACAACATCATTATCAACATCTACTACACGCAATGGACAACAGAACGGAAAACAGATTGCTCGTCCACTTCGTCGCTCGGCTAGAATTTCCGATTTAAAGGATCGCAAGGCAGGCGCGAGTAACACTGGCATTGGTAGTGCTTCCAGGAGTGCTTCTAACAGCACGTCGACGTCTAACATTTCCAGTTCCACCTCGCCGGCCGCTACCGTAACATCACCAGTGCGAAAACAGCGATCGGATAAAGTAGTCTCGAATATCAAATCAGGAGGCGTTTGCGGATGCAAGTCTTCAGTGTCATCTCATTCGCCTTCAGCTCATTCGCGTTCTCATCATGCGGGTGCCCATGCCGGTGCTCGAACCAATGCTCGTACAAGCTCTCACTCTAGTGCCCATGCCAGTGCCCATGCCGATGCTCACACCAACGCTCATGCCAATGCTCACACCAACGCTCATGCCAATGCTCACACCAACGCTCATGCCAGTGCCCATGCCAGTGCCCATGCCAACGCTCACACCAACGTTCGTGCCAGTACCCATGCCAGTGCCCATGCCAATTCTCATGCCAACGCTCACACCAACGTTCGTGCCAACTCTCATGCCAATTCTCATGCCAATTCTCATGCCAACGCTCATACCAATGTTCGTGCCAATGCTCATGTCAATTCTCACACGAATGTTCGTGCCAACGTTCGTGCCAACGTTCGTCCCAACAACGTTCTTCGTGCCAATGTTCAGACCAATGGCGCTCGTGTCAACAACACTCTTACCAGCGCTCACGCCAATTCTCATGTGAACAATGCGCGTATCAGCACGAACTCTAGCGCTTACGCTAATGCCAATGTCACCAATAGTAATGCCAACAACAATGGCCACATTAATGCAAATGTCAATGCCAACGTCAATGTTAATGCCAACATCAATACCAATGTCAACATCAATACCGATGTTAATGCCAACATCAATACCAATGTCAATGCCAACGTCAGTACCAATGTCAATGTTAATGCCAACGTCAGTACCAGTGTGAATGCCAACGTCAATACCAGTGTGAATGCCAACGTCAATAGTGTCAACACCAGCCTTTCAATACAGAGACCGATTAGTAAGCTTGAAAAGGAACAAATCGGCCAGCAAGTTGTAGTCAAGACAGCACACTGTGAAAAGAAATTAAAATTTTCAAATGAATTTGAAAAAGAAGAGGTGAAAAGCCAAGATTCTGCAATAGTCGCGAGCCACTTGACAAGAATGCCTGTTGATTTGGTGGTTTATTTGTTAGAATTTTTGGGTGAGTATTCAATGAGAATTTACGAGGCAGCAAGAGTACCTTTAGAAATTGCTCAAAGATTGCCATAGCCTGCGATCGCGTATTACGTAATTGTTACTAACGTATCGTTATCGTTTATTGCCAATCACTCGCGCAACGGTTATTGTAGATGGTATGTATTGTATAAATTGTCGACTGTCGATCCGGGTCACATAATAACTCCTTCTTGATTTGTTTCAGGTCCTTCGCTTGCAACTATGGAGCGCGTTTCAAGACAGCTCTGCCAACTTATCCGTGGTCCGCATAGCCCATATCGTGAATTGTATAACAGGTTAGTTCACATGTATCGCCCAGTGAAACCTAACGATGAAGACGGCGACGAATTCCTGTTGCATGCTCCAATGTGGATTGGAAACGGAAAATACGGGCGCGACCGTAAAGGTGGCCTTGCTGTGCGTGATTGGAAGGTAAGTCAACGATTGCAGTCAAACGAAACGAAAGCCTGGCGAATCAAGATATTAACCTTGTAAATTATTCATTGCGCCAATCTTGCAAATAGGTCCAGGTAATTGTCTTAATTTATTACTTGTTACATGTTCAAACCTAGTGTCTTTTCCCTCATACATCATCATCTCTGCTTTGCCAACTAGTTTGTCGAAACGTACAAATTCTACGTCACAGAAGTATGCACAATCTGTGGCAAACATGGCGATCCTATTCCTGTATGGGAGGTTCGATTGTGTAGGTTTTGCATAGCTCGTCAATTGGTAAACAAAAGTGCCTTGAGTTCTTTCGCTCTGTCTGCAAAGGAAGTTGACGTATTGAAGGTATGAATCAATCAAACCTGGCACGCGGAAACTTTTCTTATTTTCCTTGTCATAATATATTACCTGTTCTTTTCAGCCATGGAAAACATACGTATACGATCTCGGAATGACGTGTACGTTTTATTTGCGCGCTCACCTCGACTATCTACGCAAACAAAGACATCCTTCTGCCACCAAAATGCAGTTGGATCGTCAAGTATCTGAACGTCAAGCAACGAAATTTCAACACGAAATCAGGAAGCGGAAGAAAAAGCACCGAGAACAAGATGAGGCGCACAGCGAGAGGTCTCAGGCTGTGCTTACATGCTTTAGGGTTTTAAACTTGAAGCCAGAGACGAATACTATGGATGAATGGTGGTTTCCCAAGGAACTAAAGTTGGAGATCCTAGAGGTGAGTTTATGTAAAAGTTGTGTATCACATTCCCTGGCGTTCAGAAACATGTTACTAACTCACTTCTTGACCGATCAGTACATTTCTAACAAGACCAACAATAGTTTGGCCAGAAAGCGTCTAAGGATGTCACTCGACGCTTCCTCGTCTTCTTCGTCCTCATCAGCAGAACTAATTGCAAAAGCCAAAGCAACCCGTAAATCCCTTGAAGATATCATCCATGATTTAGAAGTAATCGTAGTTCCACGACACGAGAGACTCAACGAAATCAATAAACGTTTATATCAGGAGCATGGCATTCAAGCGGAAAAACTGCGCGCCACACTTGATTTGAAGACACGTCGGATATATGACGATTACGTCCTTGGCGGCAATGGAATTAATAGCAGAGATTATGTTTCATCCATACCGCCATATTCACCTTCATATGCATTGTCATCATTGAACTCATCTTCACTGCCCTTATCATTTACGCCTTCTTCAGCTTCTTCGTCCTCGATATTTTTTCCGCCCGTATTCACCATCGATCGTACCATAGAAGAAATTCTTTCATTCTTCGATCGAGAGCATATCTTTGATGAATCTGTAAAAAACGCTTGGAGTACGTCTATATCAAAGGACGATTTTCTTTTATGCGATCTGGACCCACAGAAATTCCTTCGTGATGCCAAAGAATGGTGGGCTCGTCGAGGAAAAAAGCCCCCACCAGAACGATGTGGAGAATTATATCTCGCTCGAGTGCGCAAGCGTCAAGAGTGGTTACGTACGGACATGGCTGAGATCAAGAAACAAGAGACGTGGAGAAGGCAGCTGTTAGAGAAAAAGTTAAAGGGAACTATTGATTGGCATTACACCGAGTTGAAGGATGCAATTGAGGAACTGAAAAACGTCTATGAGACTAACTTGAAACGAAGAATGAGAAACAGAGTTATATTCTGGATGAAGGGGTTGTCCACTTGCTTGAAAATGGTTGAACCTGCTGGGCATTTGAAAAAGATGTATGCAGATTATGAGGACTTTATTAAAAATTGTAACGGGTTTGTTTGTTCAACTGAAGAAGGTTGCTGTGGATGTCTCGAATGTAAGTGGTACTAGTAATAGTTGATTTGTGTCTCTGTATATATATTGTGTATGCTAAACGTCCAAGTATCTTTCAGTATCTTTCAAGTATCTTTCAAGTATCTTACAAATTCACTCGTTTTCTTTTTAGATGCATTTAGAGACATTTTAAAGGCTAACAATGAACTACGCAGACGAGCATGGCTTGACAAAGAACTAAGAACGTACTTATACATACATTACCAAGGTCCTGACTTTTTAGCAAGTCCTGAAGCAAAGGAAGTCTACAATTGTGCTGCAAGATGTAAGTTCAAGTGATATGCACACGTGGTTGTTCACGTGATCAATCTTAAAATTATAATCATATTTACACGTATCGTTTGCTTCGTATGTTTCAACTCGATCAATACAGACAACAAAGTTCCCAAACGTATAGCAGCTCGTTATGTTGCACGTGCGGAATGCTTTATGCAACGCCTCCTCAACGAAATTCCGACATTCTCCCTCGACCTAATTACTTTCTCGGCACGCGAACATTATCGTGCATGCGTGGGCGAATTCCCAACCGACCTTTATATAACGTGCAACAATCGCTTTATGTTTGACTATTCCCATTCATCGGACGTAAATTACTATATAAGTGATCCTGAACTCGACTCGGCAATCGAGAAGATTAAAGAATGTGAGCGAATCAGAATATCTCGCCTCGAGATGGTTGACAGGGCAGCAAAAGTGGCAAAATTACCATTGACATATTGGAACAAATCACTGATCAAGAGACCGAACGAAAACAATAGTAGCTTTGCGCAAAGAGTGAGATGGATCGCGGGTAACGAGTGGTTCTCATTCAATCAGTTGGCACAGGCATGGATCTATGATGAGACACAGTTACCATTTAGCGAACTAGTTCCATTCATTGAGCGTCGAGCAAAGACTATGGAGCATGAGAAGCGCAAGGAAGATATTCAGGCAAGGTAAGAAACGTGTCATGATGACTGAAACATTACGTTTTCATGGTATGCGTGTGATGCGACTAGTTCTCATATTTATGCCTCTTTTAGAATCAAAGAGGATCCTCGTTTCCAAGCCTTATTTACAGATTTGGACGAAGAAGCCGATTTCTTCCTTCGTGCTTCGTACGAGATCATGACTATATATAAAGTATCAAACTTGTACAAAGCGTACGTGGATGACGTAGAATCTGGCATAAATCCCGCAGACATTGTAAACCAAGTTGTCGATCTGATAAGAGATGTTAAGACTGGTGTTATCAGTAAGAGTTCGTTGTGTGTGGCTGATCGAGAGCGATTCAGCGAAGAAGACGAGGACGACGATGATAGTCAGAACAATACCAACAATAACAACAATACCAATACCAATACCAATACCAACACTGCCAACGTTGTTACCAATGTCAATACGAGTAACAACGCCACCAGTAACAGCAATAACAACAGTAACAACAGTAACAACAGTAACAATGTTAACAACAATATCAATGGAAATCCTATTGGCACCAACAATTTGAACGGTGGAAACAACGTATTCAATAGGATCGGAACAACAAGCTCTGCTTCTTCGCACAACAGACCTTGATTTTCACAATCAATTCCACCGCTGTTTCTTTACAAATCAAACATTATAAACTCATCGTTGAGATTATCGTATAACAACAAAATATGTCGCAAAAAACGAAAACACCTATGTAGTGCTTTTTTCTTTTAGTTTTTTCTTCTCATTACTCTTTTTCTTTCTCTTTTTATTTGATCTCATTACTCTTTCATTCATCTCATAACTTTCACTTATTTTATTGTTTCTCTATTACATCTCATTACTCTTATAATTTCTCATTACTCTGTTCGTCTCATTACTCTTTGTTTTTCTCATTACTCTTTGTTCGTCTCATTACTCTTTGTTTGTCTCATTACTCTTTATAATATTCTCATTACTGGTTCATTTATCTCATTACTCTTTATAATCTCATTACTCTCTATTTCATCTCAAACAAAAGAAAAACTTCCTTTACCTATGCCTTTGAATTTCTCATCCAGATATTTCTGCAAAGAAAAACTTTGAATTTGGCACTTTAAGATTTCATATTCGATTGCCATATGTTGTACATATGATATTAGTAAGTACTTAAGCTGAACTGAGATTAATAGAATTCTCAGTTCAATCAGGTGGGCGGAACTTCCTGATATTTTCCACATTACATTTATACAGTCTTCCTTAAAAACTTTCTGTTTATGATCATAAAAATTGATTCTTTGGGATATCGGACTTTTTTTAAATTCATGAATATTTCTCCTTTTAAAATTATACAACCCATTTCATAAGCACAATCCATTTTTCATTATAAAAAGGAGACAAAAAACATTGCAATGACATAAGCCTTGATTTCACGAGAATGGTGGTTTATTCTGTATTTTTTTTTACTTTTCAACTTTTTTTTTTTTGCTTTTTTTTTTTCCTTCTGTGTATAAAGTTTTACAAAGTGATTTGAATTAGTAAAATCGATTTCATTGTGTATATTGTGATCAGTTGTTTACTCTGTTTCTGTGTATAGTAAAGTTATCACTCGATATAAATGTTATAACAATGTGGTAATTGTATTCATATTCAGAGATGTATTGTTCCGATTGTGTTGTCGAAACGAAATCAATGGAAATGGGCTCATTCCCAGTCGAGTCTTGTGACTTTGGTTATTACAGGTGGATAAGCCTGGACTCTAATCTTTATTATTAGGAAAACTTTACATGTACGTGCATAAACGTATTCAAACGGAAATTTTAAATAACAGCGACAACAACAGCAACGGTTACAAACAGCAACAGTTAAAACAGCAACAAACAGCGACAGTATTATAAAAGCCACGCCATCGAAATGTTAATCAAATGGTAATCTTCTAGGTACTCCTTGTCCTGCAACAATTCTCGCTCCAATCGCACTGGGTACTCTTATACCGCAGCATTCAGGAAACTCTTGTCCAAATGCGTGTACATGCATATGATTATATTCATCTTCCTCATCCTCAGCTACACCCAAGGTAGCCCCACTGCCTTCAAAGCGTATGAGCGATCCAAACATGAAATGTTGCATTATCGGAAGTTTGCTCAGGACCTCCCCTTTGTACATTTTGATCATTCCTTCATTTATCTTTGCCCACGTTCTGAACGATCATGAAAGAATAATGAATCGATAAGCATGATGATAGAGAATGGGAGATTGAATTGATAAAAACAACTAGTCATTTGGTACAAACCTCACTCCCGATATATCATCAATCATTGGAGAACTCCAGCGTAGCGATTCAGTTTTCACCTGCAAAATTGGTGGTTGAACAAAACTTGCTCATCCGAACTATAATATTCGCAAACAAAACGGACACTTACTGAATTGATAAACTTTATACAAGCCAGATACATGAAATCTTTTGAATATTCATCAACAGTATCAGTATCATGAATAGACTTTGGTCGAATGTATTTGTGTCCTAAAACAAAGCAAGAGATAAAAGCGATTAGCCAGGTATAGCAGAAAATGGTTATTCGTTTGCAAACATACCTGTTAGCTGAGCAGATCCAAACATAAAAGGTAAAAAATGATAGTCATCCAAACCCCAAACGCCGTGGGAACCCGCTGGTTCGAGCCAATATTTGAATTGTAGATTACGCATTATGTCAATGTATCTTGATAAAATCCAGGTCATAACAGATCAAAAAAAGAGTAAATTCCAGAATTTTTATCCATCGCAAAATACAAGGGCCACAATGAACCGTCCTTACTTTTGAAATACTTTTAATACAAGCGCAACATGATCATCTGGGCCAATTAATCCCAGCTTGTCAAAACATAATCTACAATAACAATTTTAGCGTTAGCCTCCGTTTGTGGTTGATAGCATTCCGCATCTATACCGTTCAGCGTCCATGCACAACAATATCTTTTATTTCTACTTACAGCCAAGCAGCAAAATTTGCTTCATGTCCGGTGCCATAGTCGATTCTTTTCTTGTTTCCCCAACTCTCAATGAAATACCGAGACACCTCTTGTATTGCCGCTTGGGGTAAAAAGAGATTCTCGTGTAATTCGTCTGCATTCTAAAGATTAGGCGATCCATTAGATATACGGGAAATCCAAACACATGCAAGGCCAAGGGCTCGTGTTGGAGTATTGGACACGATGTCTTGTATTGTGTGGTTGACGTTGTTAACGTTATTGAATTGATGAGAAGAACGTACCTTTGCGATTCGATCATAAAGGTCACGAAAAGCTGGGTTGCCATAACGGCTTTGATTATTGTTAATTGGTGGTATTTCATCACAATACGAGTTTACTATGTCTAATACTTCGAGCATATGTTGAACTACCTAAGTAAAATGCGAAATTAAGAGAATTGATTGTAAAATGTTTCGAAAATCATCATTAGCAATACCATTTCCCCCGCAATTCAACCCTGTGCACATAATACACGCAAATATATCAAACTCAGGCTTTAGAACCAGATAATCACTCACTTGGGATACGTGACATTCAGCACTTAGTGGGAGACCTTTGACGGAATTGTTAAGTTTTACAATGAAATTGAGAAATTCCTCATACGTTTCTGATTCGTGAAACTTTTCCAAATCGTCTTTGGTTAGAATTTCCTTCCGGGGAACTCTAAACTCTGTTGCAAGAGTACTCATAGTTATAGAGGCTAATATCGAAAGGTGAAGGTGAAGGTGATGAAGGTGAAGGTGATGAAGGTGAAGGATTCGACTAGAATGAGTGGTGTGATATTAATAACATTACGTCACGTGTTAATAATATTGTCAATCATTGGGTAACGATAATTCTGTATATTCCAAATTATCTGTGGATAGATTAGTTCTGATAGTTTTTGCAAGTAAAGTAGTAAGACATGCTATCGGTTATGCAATGAATATGCAATGTATTCTTGCAAGAGACAATGAAAGACCTTACGTCCATGCTCATAGAAAGTGAATTGCAGAGGCGTGAGATATCCGATCGGCTATATCAATTTTTAAAAAGTCGGAAACACAACGTATGAACCTTGGGTATTTCTAAAAGCATGACTTTTACTACGGCTGTAATGAGAGCTAGCCAACGCTGTGTTTCAATTATTTCGTTTAGTATACTACAGTGTAGATCTTAATTTCTACTTTGCTTCAGAAGCTCGAATTCTGTTTCCAAAAATATGGAGTGAATGGCGGCTTGCGGCGAAGTAACGACCTTTAACATACTGGCCGTCCAGCAAAAGAATTCAACTATCACTAATGATAAATTTGGTTAATCAATATTGTGTGAATAATATATTCCCCTGTATAACTCTCAGCTTGATGTTGCATAGCTCAGTCACTGTTTGTCGCGTTGGCTCAGTGTATTCACTGCTGTTGGACCGGGTTTTCAGATATTGATTTGTTTACCCTTGATTTATCAAGTATGAAAATCGAACTGTCGAGCCGAACCATGCTTTGGATTGGTGCAACCTAATTCTAATACGGTTAAGTAATTTCAATCGAACTTTGGATCGATAAGTAACGTGAACCCCGATCCGTCGCTTCGACTGCGGCGTGCCTATACATCCGTGTAATGGATCCATGCCAGGTACGGACAGGGTTACGTTACACCAATAATAACACTTGTTACACGTCTCCTAGATCGTGATGATTATCTACCAGTTGATAAAGCTATAAATAAACGCCGAGGAACAATTGTGAGAGACATTCTTTTTTCGCTTACACGAATTCAAGATGTCTAACCCACGTGTATTTCTGGACATTGAAATCAGAGCTGGGGCGAAAGTGCTGCACAGTGGAGTAAGAGAATTTCCCATCTCAGTTATAAAAGAAAGATAGTGATTACTAACTTGCGATTAATTTTTCAACGGAATTAGAGAACTATCTTAGAGTTACGCGCTGATGTCGTTCCCAAGACAGGTACTTGTTCGTTTTATTATGCTTGTGTTATATGGTTTTTGTTATATTCATGCTCACCTTACCATTTATTTTACAAGCCGAGAACTTCCGCGTCTTATGTACTAGAGAAGCTGGCCAGGGTTACAAAGGTTCTACCTTCCATCGTGTTATTCCAAAATTCATGATTCAAGGCGGTGACTTTACTGCACACAACGGTACCGGAGGACGCTCAATCTATGGCAACAAATTCGAAGATGAAAACTTTATTCTGAAACATACTGGTCCAGGCGTGTTAAGCATGGCTAATGCGGGCAAGAATACTAATGGGTCTCAGTTCTTTATTTGCCTCGAGCCGACTCCCTGGCTTGATGGTGCCCATGTAGTGTTTGGAAATGTCGTCGAAGGTGAGTGTGATCGAGAGCACGGTGGTGAATAGATTAACAGACCAGATGGAGAGTTTAATCGTCGATGAATTGAAAATATTTCTCAATGTAGGGATGGATACTGTTTACCAAATAGCGGAATATGGTACTAGTAGTGGCTCACTAAAGAAAGTGGGAAGTGAAAGTGTACAGGTCATAATTGCCAATTGTGGTCAACTTTCTTAGTCAAAATTGCGCGTTATGCGTTTCATGATTTATAGCAACAACTTCACATGTTATAACAAATAAAAAAATAGCTACGAATTTGTTATAATTATTTAACGAGTCATTTTATGGAAAGATTTTTGCGAATATCTGACAGTATTCGAATGGTGGTATCCTACTTCAGCTATTATGCATTCAACTTCAGCTCAGCAAATCGCTGAGCGACTTTCAAAGCTTCATCGATCTTGTTTACGTTAACCCCACTTCCTTGTGCAGATACGTCCTTTCCACCTGACTACAAAAGCATATAAAGATTGATGTGGTAGTATGTACTTGTAGTTGATTGTGCTCATCCAAACTACTTACCCTCCCACCAATGACATCTGTAACTGACTTAGCCCACTCATTTGCCTTCAACCCGCGTGAAACTAGTTCTTTGCTAACTACATTGTTGTGGCTTACTCGACCTGATGATTGATCTACAGAAAAAAGATAAAGAGCCTTTGTTGGAAGGTTCTGTTTCGCGTAAGTGATCGCTCCCGAAAGTGCCTGCGTAAGGGACAAGATAATAAAATCAGAAGAGTCTCAGGTCTATTTTAGCAAATGACACGAATATATGAGTGACAGCTGACCTTTGTATTTGAGCCAACAGAGAATAACTTTACCACAAAATGATGGTTCGGATTTTCTTGAAAGTACTTATCTATGGTATCAATGATCTAACATTGAAAGATTAATATCCAGGCAAATCTCTAATTTCGCACACCGGCCAATATATTTTATATCTCACCTCTTTAGTCTGTGCAGCATTTTGTGCTTTATCAGCCTCCACAAGCTTCTTTCGTAATGCTCCAACCACTTCTCGTAACTGTGCCTTTTTCAATGCGGATATAGTTGATGCATCGAGTTCTCTTGTGAATTCTTTTAAGGCATTGTCGAGACCGGTACCAGACAAAGTTTGAATGTGAACGAGTTTTGTCTGGATCTCGTCAGCGAGACGGACAGCCTAAAAGTAAAGTTAAGAATGAGATCGTGCAATCAATACAATAGAACATTCGCATTGTAATTGAAATACCTGTATAGCATCTTCTCCAGTTACAGCGACAATGCGTCGTATTCCCTTTGCGATACCGTTTTCCTCTATGATAACAAGTTGTTTAATGTCCGCTGTCTTCACGACATGCCTATAAAAGATGACAAATTTCATTAATTCAATGCTTTTAAAGCAACTTTGCTCATTCAATACTCACGTTCCACCACACAATTCAACAGAGAACTCTTTCCACTGAGGGTTTGTGGCATCATCCAGTATTTCGTCTACATCTACTCCTATTGATACGACTCTAACTGGATCTGGATACACTTCACCAAACACAGCTCGAAGACCGTTAATCGACTTTGCTAGGGTAAGTGGAATATCTCTAGTATACACTTTGTAGTTCTTCTGTATGAGTTCATTCGAGATCTGTTCTACTGTTGCGAGTTCGTTGTCAGTAACAGGTTTCTGTTGTTAGAGTGAGGGGGGAGGGAGGGAGTACATTGAAAATTAGTCAAATTTCAAAGATAGCTTCGTACTGATTGATGATTAAGCCTAGGATAAATATCTGTAAGTGAATATATCATTGTTATTTACCTTGTGAGAGAAATCAAATCGAAGTTTCTCGGGAGCAACAAGTGAACCTTTCTGGTCAACCCCCCACCCGAGTACTTCCCTCAGTGCGTAGTTAAGTATGTGCGTTCCCGTATGATTATTTCTTATTGGCCAACGACGCAACTAAACCGACAATACGTCAAACGTAAATAGATAATATGTCATGTTGAATACAAACTTGAAAGTCGTTTACATTCTCGCAAACTATTTTCTCCTGCTATGTATCACCTCATCATAAGTAGCGATTATTTCGTCCCCAACATTCAAATCTCCATATTTTAAATAGCCAACATGCAATACGTATGCTCCATACTGTTGTACATCCTCAACAACAAATTCAGCCTGTCCATCGACGATAATTGACCCAGTATCATACTGCTGTCCACCAGCTTCGGCATAGAAATTTGTTCGATCAAGAATAATACCAAAACGTTTTCCAGCGGATATATCATTGCTCGAATTAAAAAGGGAATGTTCATGATATAATGCCTTGACAATAGCCGAAATATTACCAGCCACTAGAAAGAATGCATTAGAAATGAGCACGAATAATAGCGAATCCAAACACTGTTGGTATATACCTACAATATTTATACTGCTCATCGGTAGCAGGGATGCTCTCCATTCGTTCAATCTTTGCAATGTCATGTACGTCCATTACAACGTTTTCCCCATCGTTTTCGCCACCACCTCTAGCAGCACGACTCAATTCCCTAGCCTTCTCCTGTTCTCTCAAAAATTCTTCTTCATCGACACCTAATCCATTCTCTTCGGCCATGAGACGAGTAAGATCCACTGGAAACCCATATGTATCGTACAACCTCCATACATCTGCTCCTGGTAGTTTAGTTAGATTGGCATTCTTGGCTTTCGTAAGATATTGATTAAAGAGAGTCGTTCCGCGATCTAATGTTCGAGAGAACGATTCCTCTTCTTCATTAAGAATTTCTTTAACCTCAGAAACACGAAGTCTGATTTCTGGGAAAGCGTCCCCCTAAGAGAAGGTAAATATAAGATGGTCAAGAATTGAAGATGGCTATAGTATTATAATGGGAGAAAATAATTATTCGCTGTGCAGTTGTTACTAAACCCATTTTTTTAAAAAAATTATAATTACTCCATCCATAATTATATATCATTTAATACATTTGACTCACCATTTCTTCAACTACAGTGTCAACCAAGCTGGAAAAGAATGTTCCAAGTGGCCTCTTAAACTTATCCCTGGCAAATCTTGCTCCTCGCCTCAATATTCTTCTCAATACATAACCTCTACCTTCGTTACTTGGTACTCCGCCATCCGATATAGCAAATGTCAACGTCCTCACATGATCTGCAACGACCCTGTACGCCATATCCATACCATCCGTATCCTCCAATCCGACCTTACCACTATACTGTCTGGCGCTTGTTAATTCTTGAATACGAGAAAATATTGGTTGGAATATATCCGTATCATAGTTGGAATTGACATTCTGGAGGACAGACACTACACGTTCAAGCCCCATTCCTGTGTCAATATGTTTCGAGGGCAACGGTCGCAGTGAGCCATCGGATTCACGATTGAACTGCATGAATACGAGATTCCAGATTTCCAACACGTTAGGATCGTCCTTGTTTACTAGTGGTGAAGCATTACGGCCACCAATACGATCGTAGTGAATTTCGGAACACGGCCCACAAGGACCCGTCTCTCCCATTTCTATAAAAAGTATCGAATTAGGTTTACGTAAATTGGTAGCATATTATTATAAGGCAATCGTAATAATCCCTAACTCACAGCATTCTTCAAAGTCTATACGTTACACATACTTACCCCAAAAGTTATCTTTGCTATTACCAGGAACCAACCTCGTCTCATCAACACCAACATCAAGCCATAATTTCTTGGCCTCAAGATCGGGCTGCAATCCTAATTTCTCATCTCCCTCAAAATACGTCACATATAAGCGATCTTTCGGAATTCCATATACTTTCGTAAGTAATTCCCACGCCATTTCAATAGCTTCTTTCTGGTGAGCATTTTAGTGGACGGTATGCATGATAGAGTGTATGTATAGGAATAAGCCAGATCGTCGGCATAGACAAACGGTTAAATAAAGCGCGTAACATATATAAGACATAAAAAATAAATATAGATGAGTTCGATCTCACACCTTAAAGTAATCTCCGAAAGACCAATTACCCAACATTTCAAAGAACGTATGATGATACACGTCTTTGCCTACATCTTCCAAATCGTTGTGTTTACCTCCTACAAAATCAATCAAATAAACTGATAAGCACATTGCAATGAAAATATACGCTAGTTAACTGAAAATTGTGTGTTTAAACCATTTTTTCATATCACATTTCAACATCGCGTTTACTCTTCAATCTCGTCTCAACTTGTCTTCGCACCCTCAGTAGACCATTCAGTGGCTTACCAGCTCGAATACATTTTTGGCTATTTGCAGCCCTCTTCAACTTTCCCAACTCGGAGTTTGGATCAACAGTCCCCAAGAAAATATTCTTAAACTGATTCATACCAGAATTAGCAAAAAGTAAAGTTGGATCCTCAAACGGTATGGTCGAGGAAGACGGTATATACTTGTGAGCATGCTGTTCAAAATACGAGATAAAAGTAGATCGAACTTTACTGGCTTGCCAAGTGGGCGAAGAGGAAGGAATGGAGGAGGTGTGAGTTGACATTGGTTTTTGTGCAGTTGAAATATGCAAAGCACGAAATTGTGAATAAAGTGATGATCGAAATCTTGTATGGAATATCGAATCTATTGGTAAATTATGGAATGTGTAATAACAACAACTGGTACGCTGTCGTAAACGAGGAGCAGAAGAGCTCAATGTCCAGGAGAGCGGTTTCAGAAGAAGCATGCGGTCGTGATTCAGTTGAATGTGGCGCAGACAGGGATCAGAGAACGTGACACAGATTATCAAACTTCTTAATATTTCGACAATGCATTCCCTTTCTGAGAATGGTTTATTACCCAATGCTCTAACAGCATGTATTGTAATCAGAAGAAAGTGCAGAAATCCACATAGTTATATAACTAAACACGATAATTCGTCAAGAGCTTTATCCCGTCTGTGATATCAACATCTTTATCAGAGATCTAATGGAAGATAAACAGGATAAGTATTGTTGTAAATAACTTCACGGGACTTAAATTCAATGCAATGTACCAAAGTTATCAAGTTCCGAGTCGATCAGTAGATCAAGTTGCCTAGAAACTATGAGATTGAAAAAATTTAGCATCATCTCATCCTACCAACAAGATAGATATACGAGACATACCATACGGTTCAAATTCGTCTAAAATAAAAATAGACAATTCACAATGAATGACATTTAAATCTCGTTAAACAAAACGCCTCTTGGCAAAAAATATTTCCATCGTACCTGTATCCAAAGTCATGTCACAACTATTCCTTGGTTCAGAAAAGTCTCCATACGGCAGCATCTTACTAGTATATTTGCTATCCCTTTCAGCCCGTGATGTGTGATCAAGGCGATTAGGCTTATACACCTTTTCACCAGATCCGTCACTATTTATACGCTCAAGAAGCTTATACAAAGATGAATACAATTGTGCAGCAGTAGGACGTCTATCAGGGTCCGCATCATAACAGCTAGCCGTTAGTTCCTTATAAAGTTCAGGAGCTGAAGAAGGCATCATCGGTCGTGACCCGTCGCATATTTTTTTTACTAAAACAAAATCAAACGGTTCGTCTATAAATGGTGGCTCTCCGGTAGCCATTACAGACATCAATATGCCAATCGCATATATGTCTGACTTTTGGGTGAATTTGCGCTTACGAAAGACCTCTGGTGCAATATACGGAAGAACTCCGCAAATAGCTGACGGATCTTGACTATTAGATGAGTCTACCCGCTGTGCAAGACCAAGATCAACTACAAATGACGTAAGCTTGTTCGTAGCAAAGGCAGGTAGAGGAGTATTCTTGTCCGGTTCAACCACATGATTGTGAAACAGTATGTTGCCTGCATGCAGATCACAGTGCATCAAGCCTTCTCTATGGATTGACTTCAGATTTTCGACGATATTTATCAAAAATTCCACTTTCATGCTCCATGTAAGGCTGTTGATATTTCGGTTTAAATAGGACAACAGATCACCACTATCAGCATGCTGCATTACCATCATGTAAGTTCCGGTTTCTGGTTGTTGTGTGATGCCATAAAGTGGAAGAAATGCAAGAGCTAAGGATTTAGCAAAATGCTTAACCTGTAAATAGATACATAATTAGGTAAAGTTAATGGTATTAACTAACATTCCAATAAAAAGTTACCTCGTAAAAAAACGTATCTTTCATTGTATCGAAATTATTCAAACTCTTTAGAACGACATAAATTGGTGTAGAATCTGAGCGAGGTTTAAAAGGTTTACTCCATCGGGCACGAAGCGCAACACCGTAACCGCCACATCCTATTTCATGGATGTCATGGAGAGTATTAAAGTCTACCCAACCAAATCGATCTTCGCCCCGAGTCTTTCTTACTGCTTGCACGAATGCAACAATCGCAGCATGCGTGGTATAGAATACCAAAAAGTAGTCGCCAGTTGATGTTTCTTGAGTAAAACCAGCGATCCAGAAATTGTCTGAGTGTAATAGCTTTGGGTAATCTTTAGTTAACTATTTCAATAGTATATATATATATATGGATATACACATTTAGTACAAAACACGTTTAATCGTATCAAAGTATTCATTAACATCATGACTTACTTGATAAAAATCAAATGATTGTGCGTGGGATCCATCAACTATTTTCTTAAGCATGACAGTTCTCGTCGTTTGTCCAGTTCCTGTGCTTGCTGACCAATCGGCTGTATGAGAGCAATTGTGTTCCAATGATGATGACTTTTTTATATTAGTCAATTGATAATATGGTATCCATTGCAAATAACTGTCAACATGATGTGTTGCTCTTTCCCATGATTCCCTAATAAATTTATCTAAAGATTTGTTGCCGGTGGTCCAATCAAAAGGTCGGGGTTGTTTACATTCAAAGCAGAATACTTCCGTAGACGGATGCAATGAGCATGTACAAGACAAGCATAATCCGAGCTTGGACACATTCCAGTCATAAAGGTGTTTAATTATTGCATACTTCTGCCACGTTGGGTAATATGTGAACCCAATAGTAATCCAAGTATCATCGGTAACAATATCAGGATGTTCATCGCATAACTAGCGAGAAAGTTTATATTATTATGCGAAACAAATAGCAACAATAATACTTTTCTGTAACTAACTTACCGCTTGATAAAATGAATCAGGCGTGTTATTTGAAATATTAAGCGATAATATCTCTACGTGGACGTCCATATCAAAATACATGATAGTAACCCTTTGTTGGACATCACCTTTATCGATTGATAGACTTTCTATTGGAATAGCAAAAATATCGTAATCCATAAATTCATAACGGAAAATTCGGTCATATGGAATCCATTCCAGATACTTGTTATTGCCAGTGTTTGTCCCCTTTTGTGATTTTCTAATAAACTTATCTAATTGCTCGTTGCCGCTAGTCCATTCAGTTGACAGCTCTTTACGACCACAAATACACCACACTGGACTGCATCTGAGTCTTCCACACGTAGAACAAAACCCATACAAAGAATAATAATGGTAAAAATTTCTCTCGGCGACAAGAAAATAACCGTCTTCGCTTTTAGTAAAGCCTATTATCAGTTCTTTGCGTTGACTTAGCAAACAAGAGTATCTTTTAAAAGTATTAATTTCAGGTGCACTTATGTATGGATCTCTTGGAACAGAATATTTTACGGAGAGCTCGTCAATTAAATCAGTTAACGCTTTACCGCTATCGCCAAGAAAGATCAAAACTATAAATCTACGCTCATATTTGGCATAATGGACGATCGTATCAGTTAAATGCTCAATATGCTTAACATCGGTAAACTCTGAGTAAGATATTGATTTAAAACGCAAAAGTGTAGGCTTAGGATTCAAGTACTCGATTAATTGATCAATTATACTCATTTTTTTTTCAATATCGTATAACTGATGACACTGTCAACATGTTTATATGTTTGGAACGATCATTTCCAATTTTTTTCAAGCGCATTTAATCCCAAACAGTCATAATTATGTGACACGACTATATATGAGGAGTGGGACAATTAATATTACAGATATAAATGACATTGTTATCGTTTACTATTGTCATATGATTAATATTATTATTACGCTTGACAATGCTACACTGAAACTGTGTTTATTACACAAGGCATTATCCCTTATTTAATGTAGTGGACAAAGGAAAGCGATCATAGTTTACACCATTATTAACTACAAACATATGAATGTATTGTTTGTAAAAGAAAATATCGATTGCAAGCGAGTAATCTAAATTCTCATTTGTTATGCATGAATGATACTATTGTCTAATTGGGAAGAGCATGCATTCAGGCGATAAACGACTCTCGTACAACATCGTACTCACCCCTTAATGCAAGAAAGTCTGCATTACATTTATTGTGCAAAAAGTTCGCTTATTTTACTGAAAAAGTTGGTTTTTTTTTTTCACTCCACGTTTCTTCAATTTATAAGCAAAAAAATTATTTGGTTATCTATGGAATCGTTAGTTACGGGTTTTGAAAACGTGAATATGGACCAGACTCTTTCACGATGCGACATCATTGACAAATTAACAAAGTACGCGGGACCAGAAGGTCGACAGCAGTTTAAATCGATCTCTTATTCGGAATTTACGGACATCAAACGCATTGAGCAATACACAAGCCAGACCATCTACTATGCTAGATATGGACATAGATTTGTAATCTTATCTTTGCTCGGAGCTGAATATAAATCCGTAAATGAATTTATTATTATCAAAGAGCTTTCCAAAAAGTACTCAATTCCAACGCATAAATGCGTAGACCCATTGGATGACAGGCAATTCAAGAGATATAAGAGGTGGCTCAGAGTACGTAATTCACTAATGTTAGGTTTTACGAAGTCTGAAAATCAATATTTTCTAGTGGCCGAGAGGAGTTTTTATCATTACTATTCTTTGTATGGATTCTGTTCCGCATGCGATAAACTTAGGTGCAGTCCGGTGTGGTGTATTTGTGGTCGTAAAGAGATGTCGGCTGAATGGACTAGCGGCAACAAGAAATTAGACGAGTTTATTAGAAAGTCACAAGCAGAGACCGACACGGCCAATGACTCGTATTTGGAATGGATTCCATTCGACTGGCTTTTCCGCTATGAATTTGATGATTACGATATTTTTTCTTTGAACAAAACCTCGTCAACTGACAAAATCGACATTCAACAAAATGTATTAGTATTACTTCCACAAAGACTGTATACCGACAGAAACGTGACCGTCACTCCGCTCGAAATCTCGGATGAGACATCTGATTTATATTATCAAAAGGTAAATTATTATTATTACTGTCGATCGTTGACTTATAATTGGCCAATTACGATACCGTGTATTTTCACCTGCTTAAATCGGCGCAATCCATTTTAGTACACGATCGTGAACAAGTTCCGACAATAACAATATGAATGAAACTTTTTGTAGTTATGTGAAGAGAATCCTGATATACTTGTGAAGGACACTTGGATTACTGTTGGATTTACGTATTATCCAGCCTGGCAAAAGTATGCTTTAGTAAAGCTTCAACATACCTGGGATGTGTCTAAACTTGGATTATGTTTGGCTTGTGCCATTGAGCTTGATCCATCAACAGATGTATTCTGTACTGCTTGTAAGCAGCCAAGACCATTGTGCTGGACTACTGGCAACACATCTTTGGACAAGTTTATCATGGAGTCATGGGAAAAAATGACACATAAAACTGATAGTTATTTACAATGGGTACCATATAGTCAACTAGATAATGTAAAAAGATCACCATCATTGGAACATGGTTGCTCTCATACAGCAAATTGGATTGTATGCACAACTGCTGGACAAATGACAAAAGGAGTTATGCTTAAAAAAGTAGTTGATGGGTCCAATGCTCAATTGTTTGACTTCTATAAAGTAAGTTGTATGATTTGCACACATTATTAACAGAATGTTAGAATATTGATGGATTATTATTTATCATTACATAGTTACTCAAAGATTATCCAAACATATTAAGCCCAGATAATATTTGGATTGCTGGCATTACACAAGAACCATCAAGTGCAGACTACTTTTTGGTATTCTATACCTTACATGCATCTATAGTCACATTTGCACAAGCTGCAAAATTGACTCTTGGTGAGGATATGTTTGGTTGGATAGATTATGATAATTTTGATGAGATTCATGAATTGGGAGCTGGTGGTTATGGAATTGTTTTTCGTGCAAGGTGGAGAAAACCTTTTAAACCTCATTCAGATTCCACACCAACTTATGTTGTTCTAAAGGGTCTAAAAAATTTCAAGCAAATGATAAATGCATTTTTTAACGAGGTAACGTTGCATATTAATATTAATGACGTTGGCAATTAAATTGGAAGCTAATATTAATATATTAATATACTTTTTGAACAGATTAAGCAACATGTTAAATCAAGAGGTGTTAATTTCCTCCCAATCTATGGAATCACACAACAGCAAGAAACCGGAGAATATATGATGGTTATACAATATGCTGAAGGTGGTGATCTTATATCATATTTAAACAAGAATATCAACCGTCTGACTTGGAGAATGAAAGTGGATTTTTTGATACATATTTTAGCAAATCTGAAAGAAATCCATCGTATGGGATTGATACATTGTGACCTCCATGCTGGCAATATACTCTTTCACCAACATGTAATTGAACCAGACAAGAACAGCATTCAACCTGCACCTGCCTTTGCAATGAATGAGTTTACATCATTCATATGTGATCTTGGCCTTACCAGAAAAGTAGATTCAACTAGTGAACTTTCATCAACTGTTTATGGTGTTCTTCCATATGTGGCACCAGAGGTCTTTCATACCCGCAAGTTTACTCAAAAGTCAGATATCTATGCTATTGGGATTTTGATGTATCAAATGGCCACTGGTGAGCCACCATTCAGAGACATGCCATTTGATTTTATTTTGGTGAAAGAAATTTGCAATGGATTACGACCAAGAATGCCTTCTTCAGCACCAGAATTATATAAAGCACTTGCTGCTGAATGTTGTGATGCTGATCCTAACAAACGTCCTACTGCCACTGAAGTACACTTGTCTCTATATAGTCTTGTTGATGCCATGGACAAAGATGGGATTGGTGATAAGGTTTATAATCCTTACAATATTGATAACTTATCTCGTAATGAGAAGGAAATGAAATATACTAGCAAGGCATTGCCACAAGTACAAGGGGGTTTTCCTGAACCAAGTAATAGTTGTGATATTGAATTTGACATAACTACAGGTATGAAGCTACTACTACTATATGATATATTGAACATGATGCATAACAGGAATATTAACCATTGTAAATTATTTGATTAGATGAGTTTAACTTTTATGGTATGCTTTTACTTTTGCTACTCGTTATGTAATTGGCTTTGATACCAGGATATTAATCAATATTAATACTTGACAATATAGAATCCAGACAACTTGATCTCATTATAGAAGATGAATTAGCGTCTTTTGGTATGTTCTATTAGGATCAGTTGTTGATAATATAGGGTTTATCTCATTCTGGTTTTTCTCCCTCTAGATTTTGAGTAATATCAAAGGGCTTTTACTGTCTTTGTTATGGTCAAACATATAAAGGTATAAGAATGGCAGTTCAACTAAAAGTTAAAATACACAGTGTGGACTTGAAACTCATCATGCTTTCTTCAGGTAGTGATTGCCAACTGAGATTTCTACCTTATTACCCATATTCCGATCTAACTATAACAGGACTTCAAAGTACTTTTTTTTTTCAAATGGGGTTAGCAATTCATCATCAAAAAAATTGAGTCACTCGCTTTAGTAACTAAGTTAATGGAAGACAATGACACTTGGTTGTAGTGCTTTCCTTTACAAGAGTGTTTGTTGTGTCTTTTTTTGTGAACCACAAAGACCAATTCTTTAAAGTCAAGTAATACAGGCAGTTTATGAAATACTTAGCCATTTCCGTTATTTTTTTTACTGCAGTACTAGTTGCTGCATCTTCAATCTTCTTTGACCTGCTATCATACTAGTTGACTTTCGCGATATTTAATATTCATTGACGAGAGAATGGGAATAAATAACATACATCTTTGCCGTTTGGTTCGAACGCGTCGCGTAATCCAAGTGTAATTTTAAGACTTAATGCCTGTAAAACCTCTCGGGGATTCTTAAACTACATACTCGTAAAAGTGTGTTCCCATCGCAGTTTCGACTTTTGTATGTGGCATCAGATTCGCCATGTTAAGATTATTAATAAGACGTAATCTACAAAATTAAGAAACAATTTTTCTTTCTTATTCTATTACAGTTATGTATATATATTAATACGGTACCCGGACAAAAGTGAGGGACTACCAGTAGGTTTTCATATGTCAAGTAAATTGTTTACCAATACAACTGGTCTTGGTGTAATAAGTAAAATTGTTTGGCATAGCTGTGAGCATATACTGCAGTTTGCAACTTTTACCAATATACTAACGATACGTTACCGTTTTACATTGAAAACTAAGATTTTGAAAAAATTATCGAATGTTTTGTGTCTCTAAGTAAAAACATTTCAAAATACGTAAATATATTTTACCAGATTATTTGGTTCAGAATAATAACTCGAAACGTACATTTGGGTGTTTATGATTAAATGTCACCAAATGGGTAAACCAAAACTTTTCCGATAATTAGACGCGTCTTGTTATTGATTAATAACGGTTTGTTTGCTTATTGAACCAACTTACACAATGTCTCCAAAAAGAACTAATGTAGTTGATTATAAATTATCTAATAATACGTTAAAACAACCAATATTAATAGTGTATTTGGGAATAAGAAAAACAGTGCGAGAAAAAATTAAGACAATTATTTGAATTGCCTAATTTTACAACGAA